TGTTTTTTCCTTCTTATATTGAATCAATAATCCCTAAAGTGTTTCTAATCCTCATCATTTGATAGGTGACTAGGTTAAAGGATGCAATGTCTCAGATATATCCCAAGTTGCAGGTATTGATCTTTTGGAAATGGATAAATATGCACTTGTGGACCTTTTTTCCCCTTTTACAGTTTCATTGCAGATTCTTTATGTTTTTCCTTTTTTTCCTTTTTGTATTTTTGAAATCTATAATGCACCAAACAAAGCATGGCCTGTGTTGGAAATTTGTTATGCGGCTTTTTTCGATTCCATCTTTGGGTACAAATTTCTGAATAATGTGGAGCAGAAGATAAACCAACAGTGGTATTTAGACTAGCTTGGTTTGGTATAGATACAATGTTTAGGTGATTTGGGAAACAAAATAGTTCATGATAGAACAATGTCATTTGTAACAATAAGAAAACATCAACAGTTTGGAGATTTTAGTTAAACACTCCATAAATCTTTGAATATGACTTTTTTTTCTTTTGAAGTTCTCAGGAAACCATTTCATCAAGATACTAATGATCTCTCGTTACTTTTTTATTTTGAGAGAAGATTGATGTAGTAATAATAGGAAAATTTTGAATTACGAAGAACAAACCAAGTAGGGGTCTAAGGGTGAACAATGAAGTAAAATAATAAAAGACATCGGAAACCAAACCAGGTGCTTGCTGGTCGGCAATTTTTGGTGGTAGGGCTGATGCAGTGGAAATCAAATTGCTTCCCTGCCCAGCCACCCTTTGTGTGCAGTTTGATAATGTTTATTTCTTGCTATCTTTAGTCATATTAGACTTGAAGATAGACTTGAGGAGTTTTTTCTTGTGTGATGTTAAGTTCTGATATTTTCATTTGATGTTCCAGGAGATCAAGGAATCTGTGCAATCAGATGTCAGACACCAAGTTTCCCTTCTTGTACAGCCAATGCTTCAGGTTAACTTCTGACTTCACGACACTAATAGTAGAGTTCGAGAATGCTCTAGCAGCAGGAAAGTTACATGAATATTCGTGGTCCTGCTTAATTCTCAAACCATGTTACACAGACATTTTATGTTCTCTAAAGTTCCTACTGTTGGAGTTGTTCTGTTAATTTTGAATCTCATGGAAACATACGTTTTTTCCGCAGGCTTTGGATGCTGCCTTTGCCCATTACGACGCAGATATACAGAAGAGATCTGCCAAAAGTGGTGAGAGACCAAATGGATTTGTTTAGGCAATCTTAAAGCCCTTTATTTTTCTGGGGGTTACCATACACATATGTACATCTAACAAAATTTTGTTTGATTGTGTTATTACCATATTTTATATCTTGACAGTTTCTATTGTGTAACTGCCTGAGGAAATTGTACATCTAATGGAACTTTATTGAGTTATTCTAAAAAATGTTTCTTTCTTCCTTCTTTGTTGGCTGATCTATTGAAACTTTGTTAAGAATGACATTAGAATTTATTTATTTTTCTAAAATTCATGGGAAGAGGAAGACGTAGATAGAAGAATTCTTTTTCATCTTCTCTTCCTGAAGTGAGCGAATTATATATACGGATCCATAGGGATTAGAGTTTAACTGGTTGAAACGTACTGTTCATAACGGTGTATTGTAGGTTTGAACCCTACTATGCCTACCGCTCCCTTCTTCTCACCTGATACGAGGCATTCGAAGTACCCCCTACTCTGCAGATCTGTCAATGTAGAACCACATTGTTGTTGCCTTTTGACCGCACCTCCTATGCTTATCACTCACCTACGCTTTGACAACTTGTCCCCTTCAGTCAATTAACTTAGCCCTTGTGATTTCGCCATCTATAACATAGCCGGTTTAGTCAGTATTGACGAATTTTAGATAGGTTATTGTTAATCGCAAACACTTGCGTGTTTTTTGTAGATATACATATATATTCTTTGATGAATTTTTGGGTTATTTATATACCAACTACAATAGATAAAACAATTACAAAGCACTCCAAGAAATCAAACTTGAAAACCTATAACTCACCTACCTAGCAAGTCCAAATTAATCAACCAAACATTAGAATTGTTAATCACATAACTTTCCAAAAGTATATAACACCTTACATTATCAAATTAACAACATAATTCTTACACATTGATGAAAACAATGTTGTGTCAATTAATCTTTGTTCAAAAAACAAAGAAAGAAAGAAAAATGTTGCTAATAATATGGTGGAGTAGAATGGTAACCCATGAAGGGCCTTCCTTCATCAACATGAACTGTGTGTTTCAATTTGTGATATCCATCTTTGAAAACTCCAAATCCAAACAACAAACCAATTGTAACCACCACTACAAATAAGCATATGCATAACATGCAAATCCTACCAGATAACAATAGACACATCAGGACCCTCTCTTTTTTTTTTGAAAAAAAATTAATTGTTTTTTTTTCGTTTTGTTTGTTCGATGGATCAAGATATGTTGTCTGGCTGTCATGCCAAAGGTGTTATCAGCTTGAATGGTGGAAAGAAGGTGTGAATATATATAGTTGAGAAATGGGAGAAGTAGTTATAAGTCTATGGAAGGGAGAAAAAGAGTCTATGGTTGAAAAAGAGTAGCAGAATGAACCTATTATTTAAGAAAATATTATAAAAACTGTTGTCATTTATTAGATAATTACAAGTAAATTTCTTGATGAACATTAATTGACAATCTAATAAAAACGATAATTGGCCTATTATCACATGTTAAAACTCACTAACTATATAGTAGTACTATTTTTACCATATTTATAAACTGTATATAACTTACCATCAAAAATAAAAAAGCTTATTAATGTAATCCATTGGATAATGATAAGTAATATGAATGATCACAAATGTTTACTTAACATTTCCTAAGAGTGGATGTATTGCCTTTTCGATGGCCAAAATGCCTGTTATCAGCATTTTTCTATAGCAGATACAAAATATCCAGACAAACGACATTGAGTCAATGATTGTTGTTGAACACATATATTTGGATTACCTAACGAGGTTTGACAGTAGCACAAAACAGAATCCGAACACTGTTTCTTCTAAACAAAATCATGCACAATTTTACAACTCCAAACATGAAGCACTCTGATAATTGGAATGTCATGTTTCATTTCAGATGACAATAAAAGAACAGATCAAAAATCTGTATGCCGATTCAACTTTTTCTAGATGAGAACGTATAATGTAACATAAGATGAAAGATACTGATATACCTAACAAAACAAGAGAGTGAGACGGCAAGTAAAAACTCATAGTACTATCTCATTACTGATTGATTATACATAGGAAGGAAGGATAAAGTCCGCTGGTACTTCTGGATTCAAAGGGTACGGGAAGAAGAAAACTGTTTGCTGCTCAAACTGCAGCAGCAAACACTATCCGTACAGCAGTGGATCAAGGTATGCAACGAGCAGAAGTGCTTTGGACTTGAAGATGCATCCTTTTTGGAACTCCAATTGTGAATAATGTGGTTCTAAAAGCGGCTACTCCAGCAACTAGAGATCCGGTGGTTTTTGCAAATCACTGGTAACAAGAAATGAGAAGCACAGGCAAATGAATATAGCATTCCTATGCGAAAACTAGTTGGGTAATACGAAAACCATATGCATTGACTATACATGTAATGTAACACACACCAAAGCAATTCAGTTTGACAAAAATGACTTGTGACTAAAAAGCAAACAAAAAGGAACTGATGTTGCTCCATAAAGCAATTTGTATCTGAACATAGAATCTGATTTAGACTAAAACTACCATATATAGAAAAAAGACCAGTAGTTCTTCATGCACAAGCACAGGTTAGCACCCAACAGCTTAATAGCAGCAAAATCCGTATGGGTTTATAAAAGAAAACAACCTACTAGCAGTAGAGTATACTAGAGCAAAAAAGACTAGCAACAGCCAACATCATCACAAACTCATCAAAAAGGACCAACAATTCAAGAGCCGCATCAGAAAGCACCAGCAGAATATTAACAAAACCAGCATTAGAAGAAAAAAATAAACTTCCACAGAATCACAACAAAATAATGGAGTACTCAAGCTTCAGCTAGAAATACAATTTTCAAAAACTCAATGTAAGAAAAACCGATAAACTTACTAATGAAGTTTGCCAGCGTTTGTACTAGATGTTTTCTTCCCACTACTATGCCCAATTTGATGGCATATTTTGCAAGTGCAATGAATTGCTCTCTTTTTGGCTGGTTGTTCATCTAATTCTCTTCTCCATTTAATTGGTTATCTACATCTCCTCTTCTCCATTTCCTTATTAGGATGCACAACAGTGTGATCTACAACTGGCCATTGCTCTCTTCCAGTACTGGATTGATCTTTCTAGAATAAGTCTTCACATAGCATTCTTCATTGAGTAGGGGATGAACAAATTTGGTAGGATCTTCTCTAATATTAGTCATGCAGCATTAGAGCATGATGGCATGGCACTCTACATTGACATGACATTTGCTTCAAATCCACCACATAATTTTTCAAGCCATGCACTTGACACAGGTGTTGAGTAACTCTTTCTTCCCTCCTCCTGATTTTGAGTAACTCTTTCTCTTACTTTTGGTGGAATCAGAGTATCCAAAGCAGAAGCTATTTCATACCTCTGTTAAAATCTAGTCATAGTTTTTCTTCTAATCTATTCCAATAATTTAGAACTATTTCTCTCTAACTTTTACCACAAAAGCATTGAAAGACTCAGTCATGTAGAAAAAACAAAATGATTTTCACCCTATATTAATTAAAACAAAAAAGAAAACTTAACTTCCTTGACATATTCACATAAAGCATAAAATATAGAGGGCTATCGTCTATGATAGGATACAATGGAGAAAAGACTTGAGACAATGGTGGAGGGAGTTTACAAGGTACGTCAAAAGCCCTATGCCGGGCACCCAATCCAAAGTGGATATACGCCTTCCCAAAGACCAAAAATACTCTTTCTGTCTTTTTTTCTGAATTAAAGATATGACCACATACAATACGCTAAAGTTTGGATAATTCAAGTGGTGCTGCTGTTTTCTACAGCAAGGATTGTTCTTTTGTCTGATACAACCCTTTCCATCATTCTATTAGCTGATTGCTTGTTCTTGCTGCTGGTACTAGTTCTACTATTTCCTTCAACAGTTCGTTGCAATATACGGACTGGTATTCCACCCAAGTCAAAGTCTTCCTTCAAAGATCTAGTTAGGAACCTCAAATCTGTATCTGAGAGCTGGGTTTTTCCACTCATAAATGCAATAAAAGTTGGAGGTCTAGCTTTCACCTGAGTGAAATACTTGATCTTGGGTTGAGCTGCCTGATCTTTCCAAGAATGTCTGCTCATTACCTTACATAGCCAACGGTTAAGACGAGCTGTTGGCAATCTCAAACACCACTTTTCATATGTTTCGATGACCTGATTCATTACAGCTATCTGGCTCTTTCCTTCTAGAGCTGAAACAAATACAACAGGTATCCCTGTGACCTGGGGAATAACTGTCTGAATTTCTTGGGGCACAGCTTCAGTTACGCTCTTGTACAATTTGTAATTTTCTTTCCCTCTTAGAAGATCCATCTTATTTACAATCACAACAAGACCACGTCCTTCCTCAACCGCTCGCCTTGCTATAACTACTTCAACATGCTTCATGCTTCGCCTAGTGTTTGCAATCTCTTCTGCATCAAGGACCAAAACAATTACATGTGCTCTCATAAGGTGTTTCCTTGATTGCATAATACTTAAAGATGCAGGGCCCTTCTCCTGTTGTTTTGTCCTCTCCAACCAGCCTGCTGTGTCAACCAAATAAATGGTTCTTCCTTCGTACTGAAATTCAGCGCGGATGGAATCTCTAGTCAAACCAGCCTCAGGGCCAACTAAAACACGATCTTCTTGCAAGATTGTGTTCAACAAGGTTGACTTTCCAACATTGGGCCGTCCAACAATTGCCAACTGCAATGGCAATTTACACTCCATATCTTCAGAGGAGGAGTCATTATCCTGTACCTCCTCATCAGCACATAAGTTGTTTTGGAGCACATATTCTTCAAGTAATGGTCTAAGAGTCTCATGAAGTTCAGCCATTCCAAGTCCAGTCTCAGCAGATAAGGCAATGGGATCGCCAAATCCTAATCTATAAGCCTCACCAGCAGCAGATGCAAGTGTACCATCACAATCATCCAGCGATTCAGCTTTATTCATCACCACAATAGTTTTCATTCCAGGTGCATTCTTCCTCAACCACTTTCCAACATCCAAATCCATAGGCAACACTCCATCTCTTGCATCAACTAACAAGAGTGCCAATTGAGTTTTCGACAACACATTTCCAGTCATTTCTGCAGTTCTACTAAGAACAGAACCAGAAGAAGCCTCTGCTTCTATACCAGCAGAATCCAACACCTTAAACCTCAAATTCCCCAATTTTGCAACACCTTCTCGTATATCCCGAGTAACATGATCAGTAGGAGTGTTGTACACAAGCGCCTCCCTCCTTCGTATCAATCGGTTAAACAATGCTGATTTCCCTACATTAGGGCGTCCCATGATTAAAACCCTTGGCAGCTTGTTAATATGAATCTGTGTAAAATCAACCATCTCTCTAGTAGTATATTTCGCTTCCTTTCCTCTATCACTACCACTAGTAGCAGCAGCATTATCTAACAATTCATCTGCCTTCTCTTGACCTAACAAAGTACAGAATTCCGCAACATTATGAAAGAAAAAAGGATTTCGAGAATTACTTGATGACAATCCAATCATCTCATTGCAGCTTGAAGTAGAGCTCCAAAAAGTTCTGCGGCAGCATATTTCGTGGAATTCTGAAGTGATTTCGCCCGGTAAGGTAGTTGCTCTAGAGAGGATACCGAAGCTATAGTGGCTTTTCCGCCTGAAAAAAGGCTTCAAATTTCTTAGCAACAACATGATTAGAAACAGGACCACCCAACCCGTAGAGCCTCGCGACTCAATAGAACTCCATTATCGCGTCGTCCGAATGGGGAAACTGGACAACGAGCTGCGGTGATGGAAAGATGAATCTGAACGGCGACAAATGACAATGGTGGTGCTATACGGTGGTTAACGGCGGAAGAGTTTAAAGGCGGCGGAAGATAGTGTGTTTGTGACCTAGTATAGTACTACTATTCATTTAACAAAAAATTGGCTAAAATTGGTCCATATGACCCGCTCAATCTTTTTAAATTTGGCGGTTATATATTAGTTTAGCTCATTTTGGTTCAATTTATTTTAGGAAAAATAAGCAAATACCTCATAAAATCAAAATAATTACAAACATATACCCTTTTATATTTATACTCCACTAAATAATTACAATATATACTCTCAACTAATTTCGTTTAACTAATACTAAATAAGTATCATATACTATATTGGTGTTATAAGGCTGATAATTTCGCTTAATTGATTATAAATCAATATATTTGGTAATCATTAAGTTTTCTTGTTCAGAAGTTACTCATTAGTCAATGATACTACATGACTATACATAATCTCTTATAGTATCATTGACTAATGAGTAATTTCTGAATAAGAAAACTTAATGATACACTCTTATAGTATCATTGATAATGAGTATTCTCTGAACAAGAAACCTTAATGATACCACAACAATATACATATACTCCTATAGTATCATTGACTAATGAGTAATTTCTGAACAAGAAACCTTAATGATATCATAACAATATACATATACTCTTACAGTATCATTGACTAATGAGTAATTTCTAAACAAAACACATTAATGATACCATAACAATATACATATACCCTTATAGTATCGTTGACTAATGAGTAATTTATGAACAAGAAACCTCAATGATATCAATATTGTATATATGTATTGATTTAGTATTAGTTAAACGAAAATTATCTATCTTAATGATACAAATACAATATATGATACTGATTTAATATCAGTTAAGCGAATATAATCAGTCTTAATGAAAGAAGGAATGACCTGTAATTTTTTTATGAGAGAATGGGTATTTCTTGAATCACTTTGAGTTGGATATGGACATGTAATTATTTTAGGTCTAATGGTCGATTTATGTAGTTTTTTTCTTTATTTTAGAGAATCGATAGTTAGTCTAGTGAAATTGTATGTGTCGATGCAATTAGTTTAAACGAAAAAATATTTTGTATCAAACGAATAAATATAATGAATTTGAGCAACAAATACAACGACAAAATAATAATTATGAATCATAATTAGGTAACCTATAGTTACTAATAATAATTTTACTTCAAACTATAGTAATTCATAAAAAATTCTCTATTAAAAAGAAATAAATACATGAAGTGATTGGTGAAAAAAATACAAACTTCCTTTATATTGTTTGATTTATTATTCAAATATAAAATACTATTAAAAAGTAGTCTAAGGGTCAAACTCAAAATATCTCAGGTTTTTCATCGTCTCTTCTCAATTTTTCTTTATCCCACACTTATAATACCTCGTACCTTCAGACTATGAGTTAAATCGTTGATCGCTCAAATATCACTTTGAAAAGGAATCATGTGGTAAAATGCAAGGAGATATCTCGCATATCACATAACAATGATTTTTGTCAGACGTTATGTTACGAGTTTGTGCATGTTCATGCGGTTACATCAAAGGTGATTCAGACAGTATACTTCCAATGCATGCTAGAGTTATTGACAATGACCCATCATGGAGTTGCGATGGGCTCATGTGATTCACATCTCGTGAGATGCGAACCGTAACAACCATCACAAATTACTATGTTTTCATCAAAACTAAAACGTATGAATCTAAATGCACATTAGAATATTATGATGAACATTAAGATTTAGAGGTTTGAATCTGAATATACTAAACATTAAGACGTTGCATTAAGATCTAGATCTTAAAATTAAGACTATTGTCTTAACATTTGAATGTATTAAAAAAATGTGAAATTCAAATAAAATACTAAACTGATACTCCCTCCATGTTATATTTGTAGATGTAATTTGACTTTGTATGGAGTTTAAAAAAAAGACTTTTGAAACTTTTAGTCTAAAATAAGTAATAGATGTTTGTATGGCTATAGATCCTTTTATAATGGGTAAAATAAACATTTTAAAATTATATTGTTACTAAATACAAAATTGTATTTTTTTTAACTGACAAAAAAAGTGAGTCTTATAATTTGGGACAAAGAAAGTATAATATTATATTAATAAGGTATTTAAAGAAAATTATATGGCAATTGATGATGGTGGCTAACTTGTGAATCGATTTGAGATGATGTTGACGGTTGATGACGATTGTGGGCAGTAGCTTATGATATATCAATTGATAGTATTGATTAACCATGGTGGTTAGTGATTGAGAATGTTAATTAAGTGGAATAATATTGACTAACGGCGATAATTATTAGTGGATATAATAGTGATTGGTGGTGCAATTGTAAATGATTGCTAATGGTGATAACGATTAATTTTGGTGACTGACAAAAGTGGTGGTGGTGGTTGGATTGAGAATGATTGTTATGAATTGTACGTGGTGGTTATTAATGGTGATGGTAATTGTGGTTGAAATGGTGGGTATGGGTGACGAGTGAAAGTAGATGGAGCACCGATACATTGTCATCTTTGTAAAAAAAAAAACTTAAATAAACATCTCAATGATATGAAGACTTCGTTATAGATCGCAATCATTCAGATCCATTAAGTGGTTATTACATAAGGAAAATAAACACATTTACTGATTAAGATCTGAACAATTAAGATTACTTAATGACTGAAAATTGAATAGTTAAAATTAAGATATTTATTAAGTGCAAACAGATGAAACCTTATAATATTTTAGTATGTTTAGAGTAATGTATGCTAGAGGCCTTGTTCCGACATTCAATTTTAATTAAGTTATGTTTGAGACTTCATCAACAATTAGTAGCATGTTATCGTGGCATGTATATTTATATTGACATTCATGTCATTTTATATATTTTAACACTATGATATATGAAAAATTTATTTTACGAAACTTATTTTCCTCCAATGCTCTTAAATCACGTTTTCCACTCATCTTAAAATTATGTTCAATGTTTCATGCCATATTATGAATATATCTGGATCAAGAATTATATCAGATATTGATCCAGCCTAAAGTGTAGGTTCGAAATATAACATATCCTATCCCGCATTAATTTTTTTATGCAAACCGCCAACGATCGTCATCACACGCCACTTCTCATAATCTTCTATTTTCTATTGTTCTCATTTGTTGTTCCTAGTCATCTTTCTCCTTTTTATTCGCCATTTTTTTATCCTCTGACACTCAAAGTTTAGATGTAAAGTTTTTTTTTCTTTTGATTAACATTTTTCAATATGTATTCGACAATGGTAGTTATAATTTCTTCACATTTAAATTCTCAATTACATGACATTTTATATTTTAAGAAAAGAATAAAAGCGAGAAAGAAGACAGTCTCAGGGTGCTTGATAGCTAATTTGAGTTTGAGAGAATTATACAAATATTAAATTCTGCATAAGAGATAAGTTAATATTTGATTTTATTGTTAAAATCACATAACTAATAATATATGTATACGTTATGAGAGAATTCATATATCATTTTATTCAAAATAAAAGATGAAATAATAATACATGCTTACTTTGTTTAACTACCAAACCATTCACTGTGTCATGAGATAAAAATAATAATTTCTCATTAGATCCCCAATTTAATAAAATAATATTTTTCTCATCCATCTTCTTCCCATAATAGCATTACTCCCCCCCAAAGGTCCCAATCTATTCATCACTCACTCTCAACAGAGTCACACTACTCAATCTTGCACTTAATCCGATCTCTGTCTCCAAATCCTTCATTCAATCATCCATATTCATCTTCTTCATCAAATCTCTCTTCATATAGTCGTTAATTGATTCCCCAAGTACTGTATTTTTGTAGTATTATTTAAGGTATTTATGGCTTCCGCCGGAAATCCAAACCAGTCCGGTGGAACACCGTTTGATATGCATACTTTCTTCAAGCCTTCAACTCCAGTTTCAACAAACCCGAATACCCAGAACCCCATTAACCCGAATTTGATTTCTTCATTTACGGTTCCTTCAGCTTCTTATCCTCCGCCTACTGCCGGCGGCGCCGGTGGTGGTACAGGAGGAGGTGCCGGAGGACTTTACTACCCACCCCAGACAACCCCTTTTCACCATATTTCTCAATTCAATCAGAATACTCCTCCACAGTATAACAACCATCAACCTCAACATGATGGACATATGCATCCGCAAAGATCTATGTCTTTCCCTGCTCCACCACTTCAACCACCACCCACCCCTACTAGTCCTCACCAGTTCTTGAATCCTGGAAATAACCCGAATCCTAACCCTGGGGCTCGACTTATGGCTTTGTTAAGTGCGCCACCTTCAACTCCTGAAGTTCTTCAGCAACCCACTGTGCAACTTCCTCCTTTACAGCCTACAACTTCTGGGTCTGAGCTTTCTGATTTTTCTGCTTCACCAAATGTTGGTATTGCTCATTCAGGGAGTAGCCCGTTGCGAATGCCGAGTAGGAAGTTACCTAAAGGGAGACATTTGAATGGGGATCATGTTGTTTATGATATAGATGATAGGTTGCCTGGTGAAGTGCAGCCTCAGCTGGAGGTTACTCCCATTACCAAGTATGGTTCGGATCCGGGACTTGTTTTAGGCAGGCAAATTGCAGTTAACAAAAGTTATATATGTTATGGACTCAAATTGGGAGCTATTCGCGTGCTTAACATTAATACCGCGTTGAGGTCATTGCTTAAAGGTCTTGCACAGGTTGGCCTTTTCCGCAAGCTTACATTTTTTTGTTGTAATGGTTCTGTTAATCTATTGGATCTTTTCATTGATGTACCTAGATACATTTGATGTGAATTTCGTACTCTTTTGTTATG